CTCTGACCTTCACAAGTGCATCATGGCATGTGCATCCACATACATCACATATATACACCATCATCATCATCATCAATAATTAAACTTACACTACGAGAGCCAGTTGCTTTTTGACAAAGATGCCAAAAACCTATCCTGGAGGAAAACAAAACAAAACAAAACAGTATCTTCAACAGATAGTGCTGACAAAACTGGATACCTGCATATAGAAGGATGAAACTAGATCACTATCTCTTTGTATAAAAATCAACTCTAAATGGATCAAATGGGTCAAAAACTTTAATGTAAAACCCCAAACTGAAACTGTTAGAGGGGAAATACTCTATGACACAGATAGGCAAGGACAAAAAAAATAGGAAAGCAAGAAAGAAAGGAAGGAAGAATAAAAGAATGAAAGAAAGAAAGAAAGAAAGAATAAAAGAATGAAAGAAAGGAAGGAAGGAAGGAAGGAAGGAAGGAAGGAAGGAAGGAAGGAAGAGAAAAAGGCAAGACTTTTTTTTTTTTGAGACAGGATTTCTTTGTGTAGCCCTGGATTTCCTGGAACTTAATTTGTAGACCAGGCTGGCTGAGAACTCAGAGATCCAACTGCCTCTGCCTCCCTAGGGCTGAGATTAAAGGTGTGTACCACCATGACTGGCTCAGGAATGTCTGAACAGAATTCCAGTTGCCTAGGAAATACTGCCTAAAATTGAGAAATTGGACTTCATGTAATTGTTGCCATAGGGGGACAGCCCTCAGCAGCTCAGGAATTGAAGGGGAGCCACAGAGTCAGCAGACTAATCACACAATTGACTTTTCTATCTGAGGGAGTAAAACTTAGTTTTTTGGGACAAATCTTAATTCTCTGGGGCTGGCCAAAAAGGGTAGCGCGCGCGCGCACACACACACACACACACACACACACACACACACACACACACACACACCTACCACAGAAAGGGAGAAAATCTAACAAAAGATTAATATTTAGAATATACCAAAAACTAGAAAAAACTTAATCAACAAATAGGCTACTTCAAGAAATAGTTCTTAAACTATAAAATATAAACAACCAATAAATATATGAAAATGTACAATCTCACTAGTTATTAGAGAGATGCAAATTAAACCTACATTAAAATTCCATCTCAGTAGCCATTTATAAATTAAACAGGGCCTAAATATGGCTCAGTCGGTAAAGTACTTGTGCAAGAGTAAGATCCAATTTCAACATAGAATGCAAGTAAGGCTGGACACTCTAGACTCTCTCTCTCTCTCTCTCTCTCTAACACACACACACACACACACACACACACACACACACACACACTAAAACATAACAGATACTGGCTAAGGTGTGAATAAAGACAGCACATATATAGTTCTGCAAACTAGGCTGAAGAGGTAGTTTGTTTGGAAGAGTCTTGCCCAGCATGCAGAAAGCTGTGAGATCTATCTCCAGCACAGCATAAAACATTGTGGTTCAATCGGCTATCAACTTAGTCCTTGGGGGTGGTGGCCACAAAAGGAGCAGAAACTCAAGGTCATCCTAAGTCTGAGCCAGCCTGGCTACATGAGACTTTGTTTCAAAAAGGAAACAAAATTAACTAAAAGTGTATATATCATACAACCCAGTTATGCCATTCTTGGATATTTATCTGCAAGGCTCCAAGTCAATATATAACACTGATTTTCACACAAATGCTTATTGCAGCATTATTTACAGTAGCTAAGCTATGAAACCAACACAAGTGTTCAAATTAGAAGGTATAAAGAAAATGTGATTATATAAATAGATACACAAAGGGGTTTTTAGCCATAGGGAATAACAAAGTTATGTAGCTTGCAAGAAAATGGTCCACTGAAGACAATCATATTAAGTGAATTAAGCCAGTCTCAAAAAGATAAATTATCATCTCTTCTATCATTTGTGATTTCAATATTTCATATAGGTGGATAAAATCACAATGTATATAGGCATGAAAATAAAATGGAACAAAGGAGAATAACGAAAAGTTAGAGAAAGGGGAGGGTAGTGGGAGATGTGTTCGACCTATACTATACACTTGAATGGAAATGTCCTTAGATAACACATTATATAAAATGTTTACACACAGTGAAAAACACCTGAAAAAGTGAAAACTCTTTTAGCTTTTTGTTGTTTTGAGTTTTGGAAATTTGGGGTTTGTTTTGTTTAACACAGGATCCCTGTAGCCCAGGCTAGCCTCCAATTTTCTACGGAATGGAGGATATTCTTTTGTTTTGTTTTTTTTTAAAAAAAAAAACGGGGTCTCTCTATCTAGCCCTGGATGTCCTGGAGCTTACTCTGTATGCAGACCAGGCTGGCAGAGATCCGCCTGCCTTTGCTTCCTAAGTGCAGGGATTAAAGGTGTACACCCCCATCACCAGACTTGGAACAAGATATTCTTAAACATCCAATCCTGCCGGGTAGTTCCAGGACAGCCAGGACTGTTACACAGAGGAACTCTATCTCAACAAACAAACAAACACCACCCAGTCCTTTTAGAATCACATTCTATTATCCCGACCTGCAGGACATCAACCTGGGGCAAGAGAGTCAGGGATAGGGAATGGGGACAAGAGATGCAGAAAGAATGACCACAAGACAGGATTCTGATCAAGTGGTAAACTTTACTTTTCTCAGGGCTAGTTTATATAGTCAGGATATGGGGAGGGGCAGAATGGGCTGTTTGTGCACCAGGTGTTAGTATATTAGGAAGGATATTAGGCAGGATATTAGGAAGCCACAAAGAGGATGCTTGGCATGGTAAAGACTTGGTGAGTAAGAGGTCCAGGAAGGGTTGCCTAGGTGACTGAGCCTGTGGGTGGAGGACTGGGTCAGGTTGTTTCTTTTCTTGAGCTGGGGTTCTAAGGAGCTGCTATGTAAAGGTTAACTATGTGGCCTGCCAAGCATGGTCTAGAATCTCTTGCCCAGCCCTGAGACTTGGCTCCCAACATCCTATGATAGGATTACTGATGTGTAGCATCACACTTGGTTTTATGTGGTGCTGGGGGTTGAAACCAGGGCTTAGGGCAAGGTAGGTAGGGACTCTACCAATTGAACTATATCCCTAGCATTATTTGCTTTGTTTTCTTTCCCTTTTTTCTTTCTTTTTTTTTTCATTTAGTGTGTGTGTGTGTGTGTGTGTGTGTGTGTGTGTGTGTACCTGTCCAAGTATGCCACATTGTAAGCCAGTGTAATGGCCCTTGCTTACTTAATGGGCCAAGGTTACCAGATATATTTGGTCCAGGAACTGAACAAGGCTTGGGTTATAAGAGCCACAGCAAGACTAAGGCTGTGACAATTTTGGAGAGCAATTCAACTTTCAATAAATACCCTTATCAAAAATAGAATAGAGTGGCAATCGCCAGGATCAATACAGTTGTGGTTGCCAGGATACAAAGATGTTCACAATCTGTACAGGGTATACAAAGTTATTGTCTAAGACCAATTGTCCTGCCGAGCTTCCATGCTTCCCTGACTACTAAGGGAACAAACAAAGGAATAGACAGCAGCCTGAACACTTCACTGCCTGAGGGAGTGAGTGCATCAGGAGCCATGGACTCTAACCTGAAAAACCTATGAGTATGCCTCTCAAGGCAGTACGCCAGGCCAACTTCAAGTGCACACATGAGATCAAAGATCAACTTTGCAGGAATCAGTTCTCTACTTCTTTTTATTTCCTATTTTTAAATTTAAATTCGAAACAAGCTTGTTATACATGTCAATCCCAGTTCCTTTTCCCTCCCCTCCTTCCCTGCCCCCCACTGACCCCTATCCCATACACTTTCTGCTCCCCAAGCAGGGTGAGGCCTTCTATGGGGGAATCTTCAAAGTCTGTCACATCATTTGGAGCAGGGCCTAGACCCCAGTCCTCTACTTCTAATATGTGGGTTTCCAGGATTTAACTCAGGTTTTAGTCTTTGGCAACAACTCCTTTTCACTACTGAGTCCTCTCCCTGGCCCTATTTTTATTTTTATTTATTTTGTTTTTATTTATTTATTTATTTATTTATTTAGGAGACAGGGTGTACCACAAGCTGGCTTGGAACTGTGACAAACTTCTTGTCTCTGACTTCCAAGTGTTGGGGTTACAGTCCTGGACCACCACACCCAGTCTGTCTTAGTCAGTGCTCTGTTTCCATGAAGAGACACCATGACTCTTACAAGGGAAAACATTTCATTGGGGCTGGCTTATAGTTTCAGATAATAATTTAGTCCATTATCATCAAGGCAGGAAGCATGGCTGTATGCAGGCAAACTTGGTGAGAATTCTACATCTGGATACACAGACAACAGGAAGAGAGAGCCATTAGCCATTAGGCCTGTCTTGGTCTTTTGAAACCCCAAAGCTCACACATCCTTCAACAAGGCCACACCTTCTAATCCTTCTCAAGTAATGCCACGTCTTGATGATTAAGCTTTCAAACACAGGAGCCTATAGGGGCCATTCTTATTCAAACCTTCACATGGCCTTTATTTTACTCTTTTACTGTGGTAAATGCTGATCGATGTAAACTACATAAAATATCACTGAGTATCTATTTTGTAAAACCATACAGAGATTCTAAAACTAAAATACTGAGAATTTCTGACAGGCACAGCTCCTAGAAGGGACCCAGGGAAACGCTGTAATAAAAAGCTGTAGGTGTAGGAGGAAGGGGTGGTGTTGGTTAGGTCCTGGTCTCAGGTTTTGTCTTTCAGAGTGGGGAAGCCAAGGGTTGGGGATTTCCATCAGCCCTGAATTTCATTTCTCCAGCTCACTTCCTATGTCAGCTGCCAGGTTCTTTTGCAAAAAAAAAAAAAAAAAAAAAAAAAAAAATTTTTTTTTTTTTTTAAAAAAAAAAAAAAAAAAAAAAAAAAAAGTATTCTTTCTCCCAGTGTTGCCCAAATTCTGGAACAAGACAGTCACTGCGGTCTCTTCCACATACTCACAGCACTATAAAACCCACAGAGAGGAACAAGGACCCAACTTCTCCAGGCCCTTTAAACACCAAGGATGGGGATCCCAGCTCCCCGAGGCTTCCTCCTGCTGCTGCTGGCTGCCTTGGCTCCAACTCTGACCCAAACCCGTGAGTACAGGGTCCAAAAGGAACATCATCTCTGCTGGGAGGAGCGTGAGGAAGCCCGGAGGGGGCGGGCAGAGGAGGCGCAGCACTAGGGAAGTACGGCCATATCCCCCCCACCCCCGCTCCCGTGGCTGAACGACCTCTGGCCCTAGGGTCTTCATCCCCACGCCTTGCTACCCTCCCTGCACTGGGTCCCTGGAGAAGGGAAGAGGGTTGGGTTCTTATCGTGTACTCTGTCCTCAGGCTCACACTCGCTAAGCTATTCTGACATCTTCTTGTACCGGCCTGGCCTCCGGGAGCACCGGTATATCTTCGTTGGCTACTTGGATGACAGACGGTTTGTGCACTTCGACAGCGATGCACACAGTCAGGGAGTGGAACCACTCGCACCATGGGTGGAAAAGATGCCACCAGAGCATTGGGAGCAATGGACACTGACAGTCAAGAACAGACAACATTATGGCTTAGCTCTCCTACAGGCTGCCATACAAGAACACAACCAGAGCCTGGACGGTAAGTGATCCTGAGTCGGAGATCGTGGCCCATCCAGGTTCCCACACCCGCTCTAGTTTCTCAGGACCCCCAAGACCTAGATTTAGCCTTGATATTGCAGGGCCCATGGAGATAGAGTTGAGGACTGTGGCTAGGTTCCTGTGGTTCAGGTTAAATCCGAATCCCACCCCTCGGTCGGGGCTAGGTGGCCGGAGCTAACTGCGGGGGCGGGGCCAGTCTCTCACATTTTTCAGTGTTTGGATAGCTGCACCGTTGGGCCAGACCAGCTCTTCCTACGAGGGTACAGTCGGCACGCCTATGATGGCCAGGATTACATGGCCCTGAGTGAAGACCTGAAAACGTGGATGGTGACTGACTCAGCGCCTCAGATCAACGCGAAAATATGGAAGGAGACTCTTCCAGCAGAGTCCTACCGGGCTTTCCTTGAGGTGGAGTGTGTGGAGACCCTCCTCAGCTACCTGAAGACAGGCAAGGAGCTACTGTTGCACACAGGTACAATTGGGTCAAAATGGACCATGGGGCACTGCCCTGGGACTTGGGCTCAAGTCTCCCGAGGAAAGAGGAAAACGGGATCTGCTGGAATATTGTCTCTGTCATTGGGAAGGGGCAGTGCTTCTGGGTTTCCAATGTCTTTGAATCTCTCAGGCCCCACTTGGTCAGGATCCCATTTTTTTCTTTCTTCCTTCCTTCCTTCCTTCCTTTTTTTTTTGTTATTGTTTTGTTTTGTTTTGGTCAGTGGAAGCCCCGAAGTTTGCTAGGCTGGTGTAACCTCATTCTAGAATTTGACAAGGAATAAACTTCCAGATACCTGAGTCTGGGCTACTGACCCAGTGTGTACTCCTCTCCCACACCAGCTCTCCTGTGCATTGCCAGGATGGTCACATGGGTACAACTGCGTTACCTTAGTAAGAACACAAAATGCATGACTTTCCCATTCTTCCCTTCAGAGCCCCCAAAGGCACATGTGACCCATCACCCCAGACCTGAAGGGGACGTCACCCTGAGGTGCTGGGCTCTGGGCTTCTATCCTTCGGAGATCACCCTGACCTGGCAGAAAGATGGGGAAGACCAGACCCAGGACTTGGAGCTGGTGGAGACCAGACCTGGAGGGGACGGAACCTTCCAGAAGTGGGCAGCTGTGGTGGTGCCTTCTGGGGAGGAGCTGAGATACACATGCCATGTGATCCATGAGGGACTGCCTGAGCCTCTCATTCTGAAATGGGGTAAGGAGGAGAATAGGCATAGAATCTGATGCCAGAGAAACTAGAATCAGGCCTGAGAGCTGACATCAGGCCTTCATTCTTCCTTGCTTTCCTAGAGACACCCCAGCCCACCATCCCCATTGGGGGAATCACTGCGGGTCTGATTCTCCTTGGAGTTGTGGTCACTGGAGCTGTGACTGCCATCGTGATGAGAAAGAAGATGAACAGAGGTAGGAAAGGGGCTGTTTTCTGAGGGGTTTTTTCTTACTAGGAAATTTCAATCCCTAGCTAAAATGTGACCACCTCACATTTTGTTACTCCTAGGCACACATATGCATGCATGTTTGCCCAATTTGGAACTGTGTGTATTGACACTAGCTTTTTGTAAAGCACTTGTGAAAAAAAAAGGACAGAGATTCCATATTGATTCTGGAGGTTCTTATCAGTTAAGAATCAGAGAGATGCCAGCTAAAGGGAGAGCTCCATGAGGGCATTTGGTCCTCTTCCTGCCCATACATCTCCTTGTTTTCTGATCCTGTCATACATCGGTAGCCATGACTTGCCTAAAGTCTAGTCATCAGAGGTTTCCTAGGACCTCATAAAACTCTTGGACATTTTTCTTCCCATAGATGGAAAGTGATACATTTATTATGTGCAGATAATTTCTACAGGAATTGACTTTCCTCATTCTTTCACTCTTTGGCCCCATGTCCCAGAACTTAACTCTTGGCGCATCAGGGAATACCCCACTGAGAGTCTAGCAAGGAGGCAAGCCCAAGTCTCCATCACTTTCCCAAACATTCCTGCAGTTGGGAGCAACATAGGTTCACAAGCTGAAGAACCACCTGCTAGACCTTAACTCAGCAAAGGTGGTAAGAAAAAACTGGAACCACAGAGAAAACATTTTGGCAGGGATGACATTATCACATACAGTTTCCAGGGGCAGCTGGGAAAGCTTTCTAAGATATGGTGACCAACACTGAGGCATCAGTGGTGTGACCAGTGGCACCTGTGACCTGTGGATCTGGTGCTCTGTTTCTAGCATGATGTCTCAAGCTAGGTTCTTTGGCTTTTCCCAAAACCAAGTAAGCCTCAATATCATATATAAAAATGTCTAAGTTTAAGTAAAACTATTGTTTCTGCCCAGAAGTAAGAAACCAGTCTGGAGAATTTTCAGATAACCATCATCCAGAGACTTTTGTTGTATAAATTGCTTCCTAAATCTTCCTGTGGGAGAGAAAACAGTCTGTCAGAATAAGAACCCAGGATTGGGCTGGGTGGTGGTGGTGCATGCTTTTAATCCCAGCACTTGGGAGGCATAGGCAGACAGATTTCTGTGAGTTCAAGGCCAGCATCGTCTACAGGACAGCCAGGACTGTTTCACAGAGAAACTCTGTCTTGAAAAAACAAACAAACAAACAAACAAACAAACAAAGAGCTCAGGATTGATGGCATTTCATACCTGTAGTCTCTTAAAAATTCTTATAATGCCTATCTAAGACCCTTCTCCATCTGTGCTGCTCTGACAGCAATAACCACAAATATTGCTCCAAAATACCCAGGCCTCTTCCCAGACCCATAATTTAGATTGTGTATCATGGAGCCCAGAACTCATTTGTTTGTTTGTTTGTTTGTTTGTTGTTTTGTTTTGTTTTGTTTGTGCACAGGGTCTCACACTGTATCCCAAGCAGGCTTTGAACTCTCTGCGTAGCTGTGATGGTTAACCTTCACCGTCAAATTGACTGGATTTAGCATCTCATAGGAAATGCATCCGGAATGTACTGGAGGGGTTTCCAGATAGAATGAACTGAAGATGGAAAACCCACCCTGAATTTGGTTGGTACCATCCATGGCCAGGGATCTAGACTGAATTAAACAGGTACATTGAGAAAGCCGGATGAGAGCCAGCATTCTACCTGATTCCCCGATCAATGGAGATGTGAGAAGTCCAGCCATATATCCCTAATGCCATGCGCTCTATCATACTTCTATGCCAAGACGGTCTGTACTTTCTTAAGTTATGAACCAAAATAAAGTCTTAAGTTGCTTCTGTCAGGCTTTTGTCACAACAGTGAGTCACAACAGTACAGAAACCCAGCCTGGCCTTGAAGTCCCAGCAATCTTCTGTCTCAGTTTCTAGAGTGTGGGGATGATAGGTTTAGACTACCCCATCTGGCTCCAGAAATCATTTATGTCACAAGACATAATGGATACATAGCCTAGTAGGTCCTTGTCTGTATCAGTGTTTCTATGTGATCTGAAGACCAGCAGCCTCTGTCCCCACCCTGTTATAAATCCAGAATTTCAGCTCTGCTCCAGACTTCCTGAATCTTGCCTCAACAAGAACTCCTGTGCATGGCAGAGTCTGAGGCTTTCTGGTTGATGAGCCTTCTAGACATATGGCTTATTCATATATTTGGAGGTGGTTTTTTTTATTTTTTATATTGATTCAAATTAGGAACAAACTTGTTTCACGCCTCCCCAAAGTCCACCTGGGGGGGCCTAGGCCCTTCCTCATGTGTCCAGGCCTGGTACCAAAAGAATACATCCTTTCACTTGGGATGGGCTCTCAAAGTCCCTTCTTATACCAGGGAAAAATACTGATCCACTACCAAGGGTCCCCCACAGTGCAGAGGACTCCTCATTGACATCCATGTTCAGGGGTCTGGATCAGTCCTGTACTGGCCTCCTAGACCTCAGTCTGGGGTCCATGTGCTCCCCCTTGTTCAGGCCAGCTGTTTCTGTGGGTTTCACCAGCCTGGTACCAACCCCTTCGATCTTCATTCCTGGAGGTGTTTGTCCCAGAGTTTTCTTCTAGCAGTTTCAGAATTTTGTGTTACATCAAATCCTTGATCTATTTTGAATTGTTTTTTAAGCAGGTAATAGCAATACAGTGTTACTTTTCTACACCATTTGTTGAACATTTGTTTTTTGCACTGCATTGTTTGGCACCATTGTTGAAAACCGATTGGCTATAAGCAGGGATTATTTCTGTATCCTCTGTCCCTTTTAGTGGCCTATGCCTGCTTCTGTGCCTGTACCATGCTGGTTTTCTTAATTTGAGACAGGCACTCTAATACTTCCAGCATTGCCAAGAATTACTGTGGCTATTCAAGGTCTTTTGTTCTTCCATATGAATTTTAGCATTACCTTTTCCAGTTCTTTGAAAAATGTCATTGGGATTTTTGTGGGAATTACACTGAATTTCTATATTTCTTTCAGTATTACAGCCACATTCAGAATACTAATTCTATATATTCATGAACATCTTCTAGTATGTGTCTGTGTGTTCACAAAGGATCTTCCAGTGTCTTCCTCTATTGCTTTCTTAACTGCTTTTTGATTGGTTGGTTATGCAGACCAGACTGGCCCCAGGGTTTTGGTCTCCTGAGCACTGGATTACAGATGAGCCACCATGCCCAGGCTTCTTCTTTGGAACTTTACAGCTTTACCTATAGACGTCTTTAACCTCTTTATTTAGGTTATTCCCAGCATTTAGTACTTTACCTATAGATGTCTTTACCCCCTTTATTTAGGTTAGTCCCAGGTATTTAGTACTTTTTCACAGCAACTATGAATGAGATGTTTTCCCAATCTTTCTCACTCTTCCCTGTTATTTTACTGAAATTATTTTATGTATTTTCAAATATAAGATCATGTCATCTACAAATAAAGACCATTTGATATCTTCCTTTACTGGTGTCCTGGTCCCCGTTTTACTGCTCTGGCTAAGATTTCAGAAAATACCTTGAATACGAATAGAGCAAATAAAGCAGGTGTGATGCACGCCTTTGATCCAGCACTTGGGAGGCAGAGGCAGGTAGGTATCTATGAGTTCAAGACCAGCCTGGTCTACCGAGTGAATTCTAGGCCATCCAGGGCTACACAGAGAAAATTTATCTAAAAAAAGGGGGGGTGAATAAACGCTCTTTATCTCATACTGATTTTTAGAGAAAATGTGTTCATTCTCCACTCCACTTAGTGTAATGCTGGCTATGTTTGTTTTACTTAGCATTTGTTATGTTGAGATACATTCCTTCTATCTCTAGTTTCTTCCAGGTTTAAATTTATCTGAAGGGGGGCTGGAGAGATGGCTCAGTGGTTAAGAACACTGACTGTTCTTCCAAAGGTCCTGAGTTCAATTCCCAGCAACCACATGGTGGCTCACAACCACCTGGAATGAGATCCGATGTCCTCTACTGGCATGCAGGCAGAAGACTGTATAGATTGTATGCGTAATAAATACAAATCTTTAAAAAAATTTATCTGAAGGATGTGGAATTTCGTCAAAGGCCTTTACTGCATCTCTTGAGATGATCCTGTAACTTCTGTCCTTACATCTATTTATGTGCCATATTACATTTACTGACTGGCCTATATTGGGTCATCCTTGCATCCCTGGGAAAAAAGCCATGTTTGGTCATGGTATATGGCATTTTAAAGTGTTCTTTGGTTTGCAAGCATTGTATTGAAAATGTTAACATCTGTGTCCACTGTGGAAATTGGCCTATACTATAGACTTTGTTGAGTCTTTATCCAGTTTTGGTATCAGGCTAATACCAGTTTCATAAAATGGATTTGGTAGTATTGTTAGGACGGACACCTGCTAATCCTGCCCCTGACAACAGTCGGGGCACGCACAGGGACTGCTACTCCACATTGTCACCCGTCACATATTATGGCTGACATGAGGACTCTGTACATGCATGGAACCTCAGTGTGCATGCACAGTCTTCCTGGTAAAAGTTCCAACTTCCCCGCTTAATCTTTCTTCTTCCTCTCTCAGGTGACTGACCATGGCAGTCAGCCATTAACTCTGTCTCTCTTCTCTCTCTGTCCTGCTCTGTTCTTCTATTTCTCTCTCACTTGCTCTCCCATGATATAAAAAACTATCGTTAATGTATCTCTATAGTCTCATGTCTCATCTTGCGCCTTCTTTCTTCTAATTTAAGCAAAAGAATAACAAGCATCTTCAAATTTATTAGAACATGGGTTTGGGGCCCTGGAGGGATGGCTCAGTGGTTTGAGCACTGGCTGCTCTTGCAGACAACCCACATTCAATTACCAGCACCTACACAATGGTTCACAGCCACCTGTTACCTGTTTCACAGATCTGATGTCCTCTTCTCACCTCCACAGGGACCATGTACACACATGGCAAACAGACATACATGAAGGCAAAACAGTCATACAATACAAGTAAATAAGTATGTGAAATTTAAAAAGTTGTTTTTAAAATTAACATACTAGTTA